AAAATAGTATATTTCAAACCTGTTCAATTCCAGAATTTATTGAACGAATATAAAGTGCAAAAAATATGCAACTATTTATGATTATTAACTAAAAAATAATAATTTTCATTAAAATCTCTTCAGGATTACTATATTTTTTTTTCTTAGTGAAGTGTAAACTTTAAACAATGAAAACGATATACACATATAATCGCAATTGCTACTAGGCTTCGATATGTTTCTTCTTCTTCTTCTGCATAGTCGTTCAAAATATTAATATTACAAAAATATAATAGGTGCTTACAAATTACATATATACAATAATATAAGTTATAATAATATATATACATAAATATGAACTGTCAGTTAAATATATATAAACATTTATTTATCTTCCAACACTTTAGTCATTATGTGATATGATTTCGTAATTTACTGATAACAAACTCGTTTTTAATTTGCTACAATAAAAAATGGTAAAGTGATAAATTTTCCTTTCATTTTACTAATCTCGAAGGTTTCAGGATCCCGAAACTCACTATTCTCGCACCTTTTACCTTTAAATTACTTATTACATTTAGATACTTTGAATTCTCATTAAAATATTTCATACGAGTATCCATTTCTTCTGCATTTAAAGTGACTGGAATCCATAATTCCGTTCCTTTCTATTTTAATAATTTATTTATAGATATATTGTGCTAACTTGATAAGTGCAAACTATGCGCTCTTTTAATCATTTTTAATTCGTTGCCCATATCGCCACCCTAATTTAACCAGCTCACGATTTTCCATAGTCCAAACGAGCAAACAACAAAAAACACTTAAAAATCCATACAATAGATGTACCAAAATTGATGATGACTAAAAAGTTATAGCAATATTAATGAATAAATGATTCAGTAAATGTATGTGCTTTTCCATGAACTCACCGATACGTATTTACAAAACACCCCAGATATTAGAAGCGTGAAGATAAACCATTTACCAGGCAACAAGCCCTTCAGCGGCATTAAATCTGTCGGCTGATATTGTCGATATATAAAGTGGGTGCTAAAATGATATGAAAATTAATTATTTCCAAATAAACTTATTTTCTCATGCAAACCTGTAGCATATTCTACAAAACATGTTTACGCAATTGGCGAATATAAATCCAACCGGACCTAAGAAGCTTGTCAAAATGTAAGAGAGTATTAGAAAACTAACGGAGAATATAGCCATTAAGTAATTATATTTGTCGATATCTCTGCTTGTATTCGTTGCAAACATATAACCCTCTGTTATGCCGTTTATAGCTAAGAAATATATAGCTAAACAATGCCACTGTAACAATTTTTCTGGAAGTCCGCCGGCAACAAAATCAGCACCGCCATAGAGTAGAAGTAATGTATGAGAATAGCTTTGACCAAATGTTAAGGCTAATAATCCAATTGATGTAAGTGCTAACGATAAATTATGTAAAACATTTGCTGCTTGCACAACGCTTTCCTGCAAAAGGATTAAGAAAAAGTAAAATCTTGCCCAAAAACTTGAAAAAAAAATTATATACATATGTATAATCTTACCCGTTTTTGTTTATACAAATCGACATCACGAGCAATAGTTTGGGTAAAGAAAAAATAACTGCTTTCTTCAATAGGCCTAAAAATAAAGCGTGCCGCCAAGCTTCCCAAATTATTTACCACATCATATGTAGCTTGTTCACTAAAATTAAGTACTGGACTTACAGACATAACATATTTTTCACCTTCAGTTAAGATTTGCTTTAGTACGCCCTGCTTAACAAAGCTTAAGGTAAGAATCTGCAATTCTGAGTTGAAGAATTTATCCTAGGACAATTTTAATAATATATATTTCTATATAAAAATGTGTTAACGATTAATAATATGTCATCAAACTTACTTCATTTTTCATCACTCCAGGGAAAAACTCGCTTAATTTTGTAAAAGGAAAATCTTTCATATCATGTTGTCCTTTATGTTGATTAAGTCGTCGAATATAGAAATAAAAAAAACCGTAGTTTCCAAATATTATTGTTGCAGTGCTCATTAGCTGAGCTATAGCAAAAGCATTAATTGCGACGCTTTTGTCGTTTATCACAATCCAGAGAAAAACAGCTGAACGTACCAATATATGTAGAGTATTCAAGACAATTCGTACTCGTACAAAACAAAACACTTGTGTCACAAAACTAGGAGCTTCGGCACATAATTCAACAATGCATGACAAAGCCATTGCATAGCAACCAAATTGGTATTGCATTTTGTATTGCTCCTCAACGGGTGACAACAGATGCAACCAAGTGTATACGCAAGGAATGGATATAACTATACATGTCGGGGCCCTAAGAATAATTGTTTTAACTATTACAATTTCATTATTAAATATTAGAAAATGAACTCACGTGAGCCACATTTGATTTATTAACTGTGCCCATGAGCATTTGTTACGTTGCTGAGTAGTGGCACTAAGTCCTGCTCGGTTAAAAGCTTCTCTGGATAAAAACAGTAAAGTACTTTCCAACAGAAGTAAACGTACGTTCATAATGCCCAACACATCACGTCCAACATTCCGTACAATGAAAGCATTTATAGCAAAAGTAAGAATGCGACATAGAACCTTCGGACGGTCAAAATCAGAAAAGGCTTATCAGCCGTTATTGACACCAATTATTTGATTATAGCTGGTTTAAATATAGATAAACTAACATACCTGGAAAATAATACTGAAAGCCCCACTAAGTATGCTGCTATGAAGCACATTACGTTCCATTTTCTTTCAATTGTCTAACTTAATTTATTATAATATGATAAATATTTCATTATATTGGACACCGGGAATAGGAATAACAATTTCTGGACGCATAAACAAGTTTCAGTGCAAAAACACGTCAATGCTTTGAACAGCTGATCTTAGTAAAGTATTCACAATATATCGGTATGGAAATTGAAGCGAAGAAGAAGATTCTCGGTTTGTTTATGTTTATTTAGTTTTGAGGTGTCAATTAAAAATCAGCTTTAAATAATATAAAAATGGTTTATTGTTCAGTACCGGGTTGTGAAAAATTCAACAAAAGTCAAAATAAACGATTTGTATTCAGCTTTCCAAAAAAAAAGGAATTGGTGCAAAAATGGCTTGAGGCGATACCCAGTTTAGCGCGTCCTGTTAAAAGCTCTTGGCGAGTATGCCAATACCATTTTAAACCAGAGGATATTTTAAAGTCTTTCAGCCACACCATTGGTGGAGAAGTGTTTTTAATTGAGAGAGAGAGACCAAGGCTGAAACCAAATGTGGTGCCAACAAGAAACCTCCAATTAAACAAATTTGTTAGTACAAATAAAAATTTTCATGCCGTAAACTAATTTTAATTGATTATAAATAT